ACAAACCTTGCAACAGTTTTGTAAATATTATGATAAATCAATCAACAATACATAGTCTGACAGAATATAATTTATTGATTTGTTGTAATTGTCTTTAAACTAGCTTTCGGTAACAAACAAATAAGTTAGGATCCTTCTTGAAAAAGTCATTAGAACTGAGGGCAGGGGACTCTTAACAGCTTGTTTGTTTTTATAAATATTGATGCTGTTTTTATTGTGTTTGTTTAATATGTATGTATATATGTTTATTGTGTTAATACATGTTGGTCACAAACTGTAAAGTTTATACGACAATAAAATATTTGATTTGATTTGATTTGGTAAGTGTGGGTACTCTTATTTCGGTGCGTAATGTCAATTGTTTTATGTTAGTTGTTTTTATTGCCTCCTATTGATTTTTTGAGATAAACCAAATGCTACTGATTTTTATAGTTTGTTCTTATGATGTACAGTTAAACCACTGTCCCAGGTTAGGTGAGGGTTTGGCGCTCACAGCCATATTTTTATAGTTTGTTCTTATGCTGTACAGTTAAACCACTGTCCCAGGTTAGGTGAGGGTTTGGCGCTCACAGCCATGCTTAACCCCGGTACATTCTTTGCGTGCCTGTCCCAAGTCAGGAGCTTGTTGTTTAGCTGTTCTCGTTGGTTCATGTCTGCTATAATTGTTCTTCGTAAATTGTTTTGATATAAACTAGGCTGTTAGTATTCTCGTTTGAATTGTTTCACATTTTTCATGTCGGGGTCTTTTAAAGCCGACAATACGACAATTTCTCATTGTTGAAGGCCGTACGGTTGGCTGTAATTGCTTATATCCACTTTATTCAACTCTGGTAAATATTTGTCTTATTGGCAATCTTACCACGTCCCCTTTTTTTTATAAAGTCATTCGATAACTCATGTTAGCTGAATACAATACATTATCGAAAAAACTAAACAGTTTGCTTTAAGCGGTCATTGAACTATAAAATAGTTTTAAAAGACTATCGAAGCAATCAGACCATGAGACATCTTCGTACAATGTATTAAATATCCAGGCTTTCTATGTAGTATATTGCAGAAGTAAACGTGGCCGTGATTGCTTGCTAATAATTAATTGTCCCCGCATTCTGTCAAAATTCGAGATAGACAAAACAAAACAATAAAAATGACAAAAACGACGATGGCATTTTTTCATATTGGATGTCAAAACTTTACAAAGTTATTCAAAATGAGAAATAAACAGCAGGTTCATCTAGGTGGTCCTCGAAATGTGTTCATTTTATTCCGGCTACCATTGCTTTTGAATTAAAGGGAGGTTGTAAAATACATTGTGGTAAATTCTACTTAACAACGTTGTCAATCATAGTTAGATTCTTAGAAATCAAAGACTTACTATAAAATTTCCCTTCAAACTCATTTTATAATTTCGCAATAATTGTTCGTCATTTTTCTCGGTCTGCATTTCATTTAACCCTATTGAAAGATTGCATCTTCTCGTTAAACATGGCATTTTCTACAACGTTTGTGCACATTAAGAACAATATTGATCCCACCAACAAACACACTAAAGAAGATTAAATGGTGACCAGTATTCAGTAAGCTTATTAGTCTATCGGAATGGGTTGATCTATATTTCAACTATATTCCTTTGGGTACTGAGTGTTTACATTACTGGTCGATGTGTCTGTGTGATCATTCAATGCAAAGTTCTTCGAAAACGGTCACAAAGATAATATAATTTGTTAATATCATGTCTAACAATAACCTATATTTCAAGGATATCTGGCTTGTCATATATTCAAGTAGATTTGTACTATAGTGTTATTAAATGGGTGTTTTCATATAAATCCTTTATTATATTCAAGCAAAGTCGTATTTGGTCGAGGTTAGCTGTATTGGATAGAGGCGTCTACAATCAAAATAATTTCACTGACGTATGTAAACAAAATGGCAACGGCCAGTTGAGAAGTCCTTCGGAAGTTAAAATCCTGTATAAAGACCAGTAAAAATTATGTATTAACCGGCTTTTCTGTATTAGACTTGCATTAACGACCGGTTATCAGACATATGTGACTGTATTAAATGGACAATTTATTATGTATTTTCATTCATTGGTTAATAAATTATATTATTACTTGAAGGTACTGCTTCATATTAAAATCCTTTCAAAATTGACATAGATGGATGACTCTAAACTAGTATCTAAGAATAACATGACGAATTCTACTTGTCTAATGTCAACTCTCGGCTAATTCCTCAGGAGTAGCAAACGTTCTTCCAAAACGAACATATTTTACATTTCTCAATTAAGACTGTATGTGCATGTATTTTTACATTACACGGACGTTTGTAATAAAGTTGTTCTACTAGCGCAAGAACTGAACTAGCGATATTATGATGAAGAACCTTACTAGTTGAATGGTCATCATCACAAGTTTAATCACCGATACGAAACGGCTATGTCTCAACTAACGAGAGAAATGATTTCGTATACTTGGGTCTTTCGAAACTACAATATCTGACTTATGTTGTAAACTTCCTGAATTAGTATGCATTATTGTTTAGGGGTCAGCTGAATCCTGCATCCTAAAGCGGGATTTTCTCGCTGCGTTGAAGACCGAGTGGTGGCCTTATGCTATTTTCTGCTCTTTGATTGGGTTGTTGTCTGTTTGAAACATTCCCCGCTTCCATTCTCTATTCTATTTTTCCTATTTCTTATCAAAGCATTTTACTGAGTCCTCATTTGTATGACCAAGGAAATATATACTGCCTAGAAAGAGGTACTTCAACGTATTAGTTCGGATGCGGTTTGGATAATGAACACTGAAATTCTTTTTAGCGAAGCTTTTATCAAAGGTTGAAGGAAAATAGTGGGAAATGCGCGTTTAATAAGAGTGGCAATATTAAGATTATGTGTCTAAACCTGAAATTTATAATATATGGACGTGTACTTCATATAAGAACTTAAGTATACCATGGAAATACTCAAACGGTCCCTAGCATTCAAACTGCATATTATATCCAAATTATTGTACGCTGTGCATTTCGATTTCCAAAGTATAATTTGATTGTTTTGGGTTTCCTTTTAATTTGCTCATCATTTTTGGATTAGTCAGATTTTAAGGACATGTCTGTTTAAAAAGTATCGGCTTTTTTGTACTGAAGAAAGGAGGATAAGGAAAAAACACCGAGCTGATATCAAAATATTATCTATTAAAGGGTAAAATAATCTTAAGTGATAGTATCAAATGCGGGAAAAAGTAAATAACAGCAAACTTGATAGGGATTTTGATGACTCTCAATATAAAGACTAAACAAACAAATTATTAACAGAGTTTGGCAATTTTAATCGTAGCACAACTCAACATTTAAAAAAAAGACATACTTGGATGTCTACGGCTTACATTAATAAAGAGTCTGAGAATGTTGTAAAGAGTATATTAAAGGCAAAGGACTCATAAAAGGCCTCGTTTGGCTCGAATAATTGAATGCAAAAGTTACCCAAATTTATTTGGAATGTAGAATTTTATTTCCCTTGCTGTTTGAACTACAATGGCGATGTAATTTATCAAAGAATCAAAAGTCAAGGTATATTTTGGTCGGAAAAAAAATTTCATCACAAATCAGCAACACAAACTCTGCACTGATTTCGTGTTACAAAATTACGTGTTTCGCTAAAACAAATTGCCGAAAAGAAATCTTCGATGTATTATGATATAATATAATGAATTGAAATTTCATTATTTTGTTAACAAATCTTACAATTGATGGTTATATTCATTTGACTGCTGACTTGACAATTATTGAGGGCCTTTTTAAGGGTTTGCTATCATCTTACTAAACGACAAAAACGACGGTGATGCTGTGCAGATCCTTTACATACGTAAGAGGTCAACATAAATGTTAAACTTGTATATTTTTTGCTCATTTTGAATTTTATTTTTGGATGATTTTCCATGTTATTGCATTCAGATATCACCATTTTGTATCGTAATATTAATACTAAAAATAGGTGTTATCTGGTAAATTCTTTGATAATTGTATACTTATTTGGTATAATTTTTGTTCACCTATATTTTCCAGTTTTTAGTTCAAATATACATGTACAACAAAATTATGTATTTTGTAAAAAATATTTCCGTACTCCATTATACCTTACAACAAAATTATTTTTATTTACCTGTGTACGTTATTTTATTTGGCGGCATTTCGTCCAAAGTTATGGTTGTCTTTCTGGTATTGTTTTACAACTAACCACCTTGTTTTATTAATTTTGTATTTAAATTGTGTCATAGATCAATTTTTTTTGTTCAGTGTATGTTCACTTGTTTTTGTTAATATGTCTTTTGATTTAGTTAAGCCATTGCAATTTATATTTTATAGTGTGTCTTTCTATGTTGTGATGTTACACTTTTGTTTCAGGTAAGGGCGAAGGTTAGCGCCTATTTACACGTTTAAACCCGCTGCATTTGTTTGCACCTGTCCTAAGTCAGGAACCTGATGTTCAGTGGTTGTCGTTTGTTGATGTGGTTCATAAGTGTTTCTCGTATTTCATATAGATTATACCTGTTTGCATGGTTTTAAACTAGTCATTTTGGAGCCCTTTATAGCTTGCTGTTCGATGTGAGCCAATGCTCTGTGTTGAAGGCCGTACTTTGACCTATAATGGTTTACTTTTACAAATTGTGACTTGGATTGAGAGTTGTCTCATTGGCACTCATACCACATCTTCTTATTTCTATGTACAATGAAATGATTGGCACCATTCGTTCGTGTGTTTGTTCTTTAATATGCAGGTGTTTCATAAACTGGACATGTAGTTTATTCGTCCTTAGACTTATAAGCAATCTCCCAATAAAAATGCCAGTTGGATAATCAATCATGATATCTCAAACAGTGAAAATAAAAAATTCAAAAAGAGATTGAATATCGTAGGCATAATTGCTTTTTTTTAAATCTGACATAACAATCCTCGTGAAAAAGAAATCATGTATTCAAAAGATATAAAACCGGTAAGAGCATTAAATCTGAAACCTGTTTTTTTAATTAAATAGGTACAAAAAATAAAGATTGAACAGTTATCCTAAAACTTAACTATCTATTTAGTAAGCATTGACACTATGTGGCTACGATTTTGCGACTGGAGTGCTTCTCACAATACTGAGTATACACTGTTTGCTTGTGATTGGTGTTCGTCCAACTTTCAAAAGGGAACATTCCTTCTATGATGATTTGCCTTGCAAGTAAAAATAAAATCAAAAGTAGTAAAAAACCCATTTTTATCATAAATAAAGAACAAAAATATTGGATATTTCTTATTTGTATATAACTGCAGTTTATTTTCTTTTTTTTTTTTAAATTTGTCAATACAAAACTTTCGAATTAGTGTGTCACAATGCTTATGTTATTACGTTCCAGTATAAACCGATTATTTAAAAACGTCATTTACAACGATTGACATCGGGTTATCCGGTTTAACTAATTCACAAAAGCAATTCGAGATTGATGTTTAGTTCAATTCAGAAATTTCCGTTATTCGGGAAATCTAGAATTAAACCATTTAAACCTTGTAAAATTTACCTTCTAAATATATGTCAATAGTTAATTGCCCAATCTTATGTTCAGCATTTTAAATGCAGCCAAGGTTGATTTTCATATGATGAAGACATTATCTTTCGATCAGTTTAATTTAGGTCTGGAGCTGGATAAGACATTAACTGCTAGTTTTCCTTTAATTATTTGTGTTGATCATCGCCATTAACATCGGACTCGGACTTCTTTTAAAATGATTTTTACTATGCGCATTGCTGTGTGTTTGTTTATTCTAGTCTGAAGTCAGGTACCTCTAGCCATTGTGAGTCTTTGTGAGGCTTTGTACTGCTCTTTGATCGGGTTGTTGTCTCTTCGACTCATTCACTGTTTCCATTCTCTATTCAATTTTTAGAGTTTGTCTTTAATGTCCTGTGGAGACAGTAGACTGCCTCCCCATGCTGAAGGATATAATTATAATATACAAGATGATGGAGTGTATGCCCGAGCGATAGCTTCTCTACGTTCATTTCTTCAGGCATATTTCATTCTGCACCCCATTCTTTAATTTGTCAGACATCAAGCGCTACCTTGATATACCCTGTCTTTTGTTGCTGTTCTCTGGTTTCGTAGTTTACATATTTTGTCGGATATTTGATGACGAATAGCGTTTGACGTCTCACGCTATAGAGTTATATCTTTTTACTTTCTTCAATTCCTAAATGCTGGTTCATATTCTGTATGCCAGTTTCTGTTCCTTTCAATCAAGATGTGATAACAAAATCATGCTCAAAAACGGAAAAATACTGAATACCAATCTTGGGCATAGGTTATCTACACGCATCAATCTTCAACATCGCTTATCTAAATAAAATACAATTGCTAACATTTTAAATAATCAATATCGTTGTTACCCTTCTATTGATGAGTGCCAAGACAAAAAAAAGACTTACATGTCCCCGTCTTTCCACCAACAATACAGTATGGTCCACTTTAAAGATTGTACAGTTTCCTGAAATTTTGAAACTGAATAAATTGAAAAACAAACAACATTATCTGTTTACTTACCTGAATTAAACCGGGCTGCGGTGTTCAGTGCGTGGGTGAAGCAGAAAGCTTTTTATCTAAACGTACACAAAAACACCTTTATCGTTTTGGAAGACCACATCAATTTAAAAATATCATTTATCAACACCTTCAGAAGCACAATCACTATATCAAATATATAACAGTTCTAAAAAAAAAGAAAAATAACAAAAATACCGAACTACAAGGAAAATACAAAGGAAAGTCCTTTATCAAATGGCAAAATCAAAAGCTCAAACACATCAAACGAATGGAAAACAACTGTCATATTTCTGGCTGGGAACAGGCATTTTCTTATGTAGAAAATGGTGGATTAAACAGGATTGTATAGCTAGCTAAACCTCTCACTTGTATGACAGTCGCATAAAACTCCATAATGTTAACAACAATATGTGAGCAAAACAAACAGACATAATAGGTTAAAATGTCAAAATTGGGGTAAAGCAGTCAACATTGTGTTATAATCTTAATCACTATAAAAACAAACTATTTCAACAAAGAAAAACAAAAAAGTCATATAGATACTCTATGGACAAAGTACATGTGCAAAAATGAAAGACAAGAATATGAAAATGACTATAGCACAATAACACAATGGTGGGAATACCGAGACACGTTTGCAACATTTAGAAGAATTCAATATGCAACCTGGGGAATCTAATTCAAAGCTTGTACGATCACGGAAAATAATTGAATTAAATTGGATTAAATATTTACAGACAGTTTATCCTATTGCTCTTAATGATAATATCATGGGAATTGATAATTTATCAAGAACCGATTCTGTTAACATTTATAGTTTCTAAAACTGTACATAAAAAACCGTTCTCACAGATGTAGAATAAATTGTAAAAAGAGAAATTTCGAACTAACAATAAAAATATTTCGGACATACAAAAACAACAGCAGACATCATCTATTTACCAAGATCTGTTCTTTACCTGTCAATGAACTACATCAAATTTTGGAGGATTGCAACAAATTTCCATATTGCATTTCAAAAAAAATCTTCCAAATTATAATTGCATACTGTTATTCTCAACTGTTTCCCATAATTGATAGACCGGAAGATCATAAAAACATTTCTTTAAAATCAAATAGGTTAATAAAAAGGTTTTAATTTTATAAATATTGTCGGTATTCTTAATGATCATGCTGTAAAAGAACAAATTCCTGGTTAATTTGATCATACTGAGCTCCCTCTGATTTGTTATGTTTACAAAAAATCTACCCGAAAATATGTTTTTCATTAAAGCGAGGTGTGTAAAGATTTAATATCAGTGACACTACACCTACGACATGAAATTGCAGTAATTCTAAATACATTTATGACCCCAGTTTCCATGTTATAACACTGTCTAGGAGCAGGAGTTAAAACATTACTTAGCAAAGTGCCTAAATATAGTCCATGGTCAATTTTAAGTGGGTTGAGTGTCGCAACATCATCGATGACTCACTCAATACTTACTGTATAAAATGGATATTTTTTTTTCAATTCAGTAATGAGAATAGTTGATATTCGTATTAATCATTTTAAAGGATATTTTACTCCTAACAGCCATAATAGCCCTATTTCTCGTATAAAACATAGCTAAGAGAATTGATAAGGCTGCCAATAATGTAATTGTTGTTTGACGTAAATTTTATATTGAGGTTCTGCAAAAAAAAAACACAAATTCACAAACATTTCAACTGACTGACTTAATTTTCGGAAAACGACATCATTAACAAAAACATAAACCTTTTCCTACCTCTTTACAAGCAGAACCGAGTAACATGAATGTTCCAAGTTTGTACTGGTCTCCGAAGCTACACAAAACACCTTACAAGATGTGGGTTGTCTTCAAGTCATTGTTCCACTACTAAATCGTCTATTTTACTTACCAGTACACTTTGTTCAATCAAGAACCTGGTAATAAAATAAGGTTGAAAACAGTGTGTTAATCACTTTTGGAGTGTCAAAAAATCGTTGAAAGTATTTGATAAATTGCATGTTCATATTGGTGCTTTCGAATCTGTTTATGGTGCTGATTTTTCTACCATATATACCGCTTTGCCTCATACCTTCATTTAGAAAAAATTAACATACCTGATTAAATGGACATTTAAAAAGTCAAATTGTGAATATATATATTCAAACACTTTTCGGTCATATTTCAAAAAAGACAAACCAATTGGACCTGCTTTGATATGATAACTGCATTTGATTGTTTATAAAATAACATGTCTGTTCGCTTTGAAGATTGCCAAATTATCGCGATTCCACTTAGGACTAACTGTGTACTATTAATTGCGGACCTGTTTCTGTATTGTTACGAATCACAATTTTTCTAAAATCAGCAAAGACCAGTCATCTTGATTCAAGGTTGTGCACAGACAGCATAACATTTCCTTACCATATTGTTTCAGTTAACCTCAAACATTTAACTTAAAGAGAATAATTATTCCAGTCAAATTCACAGCTGAAATCGCCATTGCTTTTTCAAACAAACACACTAAATGTCTTTCTTTCGGAATTAAGTTCAAACGGGGTTTCAAAAGGGTGACAGAACGTTAGACTTCAAATATTTTTTTAACTTTGACATACGTATTAATTTCTTTTTTACCCCTGTAGATTATATAAAATCTTAGTTTATCTGTGAAGACAGCTCAAGGAAAAAACTAACAGACAATTTCGCATGATTTCAACGTATTTGTTAGAGGACGGCCAATTTGGGTATTATTTTCTTTAATAAGACACATGCTTAAAAGATAGAAATACATCAATTTCTGACTCCAATGGCAAGTAAGAAACAGAAAACAGAAAAATTTTCTAAATTGCCGCCAATTTCATTTTTCCGCAAAATTAACGCAATTCCTTTGGATTTGTGATTTAGGATTTTCAAATAATGAAGCAGCTTATAAAAGTAAGAACCTTAAAAGAATAGTCAGACCTACCTAACGTCAATATTGCATGAGGGAGATAGAACTTTATTTTCAAAATAATTTTCAAAATTTTCAACCCTTAAGGTAGATTCATAGTATACCGCCAACTTGGATTGTACAATCCCAGTACAAAATCGGTCTAGTTATTTGTCTAAATCTGCAAATTTGGAGACAGACTTACAATTTATTAGTTAGACTGTTTATTTATGTAAATAAAAATTGGTGATTTATTGTATAACTCAAATATTTAAACAAATATCAAATTTTGTGTTTTTAGAATCAATTTTTTCAAATAAGCCATTTCAGGGAAGATAACTCTTTTAGTAAAAAATATATACTGGACTGATAGGGAAATTTTTTTATTTTTACTTGTAGCAAGAAAACAAGTTCGGTGACACCATTTTTTCTTTTTATTCTCTTAAAACATATTATAAAACCTATCTTCTTACAATTTATTTCAAAATTCTATCTCATGGATTTTTTTTTTATGCATACAAATGTGTTTTTTCATGAACAATCTAACCAAATTTAGGCAATTTTTAACTACTTATAGCATGGAAAATAGCACGGTGATCCATACTTTTTATTATATTTTAGAAAAAAGCATAGTAAAATCTTCATTTTGGCAAAGTATAAGAAAATTCTATCTCAAGAAATATATACCTATGATCTACCTTAATGTAAATAAAGGCAACAGTAGTATGAAAGGTATGTAAAAACTATGTCAGCGCGGACTACGTATAGTAGAAACAATAGATAAGCGTTTGTTTGATAAAAATATACCATTAATTAGGTCCTATTATCAGTGAGTTCAATGATTCACAATTCAACAATTAACCAATAGTATACAGGAAGTGGATTTAATTCATGAAAAATATTTAAAAACAAACTCATATGCAGTTTCAGTATATTTTACTGAAATTTCCATTGAATAATTATCAATCTAAGTACTATCCGTGATTTATAAAAATAAGGCATATTCGAACAACTTTCTTAGTATACATGATATGTATGTTGCAGAATTCATAGCAAGGAAACTGATTCTAAACACATCCCGTTTTATTCTCACAGTGAATTGCGAATATGCATTTGTAACGATATATATTAAAACAGATTAAATCACCCTGATTGTTTTTGTATATGGACAAATTGAAAAATACTTCTTACAGCAGAAATATCAACAATATCACAAAATAAGAAAAACGAAAAGCTTAAGAAACGGGACAAAGAGAAAACAGGACTTCGAACTTGAACCGATTAACTTTACGTCTAGAAAAAAGTAATATAACAAAAAAACCGAACTCCAAGGAAAATTCATAACGGAAAGTCCCTTATCAAATGGCAAATTCAAGAGCTCAAACACACCAAACGAATGAAAAACAACTGTCATATTCCTGACTTGGAACAGGCGTTTCCTTATGCAGAAAATGGTGGATAAAACCTGGTTTTGTAGCTAGCTAAATCGCTCACTTGTATGACAGTTGCATTAAACTTTAACTCTACAACTCATTCATCTAAACCAGGCGCCTACCAACTTTTACTATACAATTATACTATAATAAAAATAAATAAGCACGCCCTATCTGCCCATTGTACCGATGTGTATCAAATTTATAATAAGTATTAAGTAGACATCTTTTTTGCAGCAATCGGTAGCCGAAAGTTTCATCAATGTGTTTGATATCAGTCATACATTACAGACTTCAAGGAGGAGGATTGAATCCCAAATTTACAGAAGTGAATGATACGTGTTTAAATTAATTCCATTAGGAAACAGAAATCAGTAAATTAGCCAATTCAATCTTAATAAAAGTAGGCACATAAAGGAAATGATTGAATATAATTTGGTGAGGACATTTCAGCAATAACAATGCGTTGATTCTAGAAAAAAGAAACCACGTTATATGAATGGGCGGGCGTCACGGCAATGGTTTAATGAGCTGATAATGCCCTCGGGACAAGCAGTGCATTTGCTGCTGTATCTGAACATTGCTGGCAAACGAAAAAACTGTTTTTAAAAAAAAAGCAAAAGACACAAAAGGGACATTTTAACTGTCGAAAACTGACAATGCCATGACAAAAAACGAAAAACGACGAAGCAACAAATACCAATACTCAAATCACATTTTTTGATAGATAAAGACCCCACCAAAACATCGGCTGCATCTAAGGTGCTACGGAAGGGTGTGCAGAACAATAGGAATTATTAACCTTGTTCTTGCTTCTTTTCAATTTGGTTGTTTAATTCTATTTCAATAATAAATTATTACCTGAGAATAAACAAGATTGTGTTATGGTTTAATGTGGGTGAACGATGTCACAACTGTGATATTGGTTAGATTTTCTAATTTGCCAATCTTTTGGACTGTGCAAATATTGGAATATATTTTGATTGGATATTCAACTATTGTGTAATTTCAGTAAAATTAAATTTGTGAATTATATATTCAAAGCAATATTAATCTTTTAATGATTTTTCATGCATGAATATTTTAACATTGCAATAAAGTTACAAAAAATAAGAAGTTATAATACGAACTTACAGTAGTTAATATACTTAGCAAAACTGGCTAGGGTTTTACTGTGTTTCTCAATGTTCATGGTTTCATAAAAAAGCTAGATTAACACTACAAATTGACGAAACACAAATAAATACAAATAAATAACCAAACACTTATCAAACAAGACAGGTTAAGTGATATTGACCAACAGTCAGTTGAACATGTGTTTTAGAATGAGAATACTCCAAAACTTAAAAAGGCACGAACTTACATCGAATATTATACATGCAAATTGCTTACTTAAAAAACTGTTATTAAAGTACAAAATTTGTGTACATTTGTTATTTAACAGCAGCATTATTAACATGGCAAGTTTTTAAGAAAAATGATATAGAAATTCTGGTAAATTTGTTTCATATTTGAGTATAACAAGCAAATACTAGTATGCAACACTGTTAAAATAGCATGAAAAAGAACTCATTGGGCCTTAAAAACAAGGCACATCAAAACATTTTTCCAATTGTTTATTAACAATAAATAAGTTATAAATGACAGAATGAAATACTCCATTTTTCACTTAATTTAATACATCAACGTAGCATGGCCAAAAAAGGAGAACGAAATAATACATGTAATTTGTTTTGATATGACTGCTATGTTTATTATAGCAATAATACTAGTAATTCAAATATGAAAACAATCGAAAGAACTGTAATGATGCAGGGATAAACCTATATAGAATGATTAGACTATATAGGGCAATAAAGAATTTATCAATGTTAAAAAAAATATCAAATAAAAAACGATAAAATACAAAGAAGAGGACTTCTTAGGCAAAGTTATTCATCATGAATATGTGGAATAAGAGAAAAAAAACGTGTACTAATATGCTTATTTAGTTTGATGTCGTTTGTTACTGTATGATACAATATTGGAAATATATTTCAAATGATAGCAAGGCTCTCGGGATTTATAAAAAGTTAAAAACAACTTGTGCACGGTATATATGTGAATATATGCGTTAGCAATTATTCAATTTTTCATGTTCTTTGTCATCAATATTAAAAAAAAAAACAGTTTTTCAAATACTTATCATCACACGATAGACGGATGCAGTTTTTAAGGATTTACATGCACGCCCTACTCAATAATTTCTTGGCACTATATTTAACAGACATGGCATATTTCATCATTTAACGTTGACAGTTTTAAGATCTTATTTTCATTGAAAAACACCCTTAAAAAGGCTAGATTTACCCCAAACATATCTAATTCATGAAGTTGTAAAAATAATTATTTTATGATAATACTGATACCATCTTAAGACATGCATGTTGGTGTCCATCCTTCGGGATACAATTATTTTTTTCTAATTTTCTAATTTAAAATACTCTTTTAAACGTTACTGAGGAATTATGTATGGCCTTAGACCATTCAAGGATATAATTAGTTCTTATACGAAACACAGGGTCAAAATTATTATTTCAATATTATTATATGATTCCTACTAAGACAACCCATTATTATGTCAATTTCCATTAAAACCTGCAAGCACCAAATGTACAGTATTGATATGTGTAATGCATCTGATTTTGCACCAAAAACACGGATGACTTTTTTTTGGGGAAGACCCAACTG